TGTAGCTATTAGCCACGGGCCAGAGATATTCTTGTTCAGTAGAGTGGACTAAGGGGCATGGACAAAGATCCCAGTATCAGTCACCAGCCATGCTCTGAGCATGGCAGTTGCAAACCTGTAACTGGATGACAGAATGAGAAGGGGAAGAAGTTCAAAGTCATCCTTGGTTACAGACTAGCCTGGGCTCCACAAGACTTTGTCTTAAAATTGGATGGATGGATGGATGGATGGATGGATGGATGGATGGATGGATAGATAGATAGATAGATAATAGATAGAAATGCAAAATTACTAGCCCTGAAAATGAATTAGGATAAATACCTACCTTTGTAGCAAATGTTTATTACCCTCTTTCCCCTCTTTCCAGGAAGCAGAGACCAAGTACCTGGCAGTCACTAAGGCTGCCTTCCCTTTAGCTTTATCATTCTGTTATATGCAGACTTACCACTATAAGTGTGTTCTGTTTTGGTATGTGTGGAGAGACTTATGTCGTGTATGTGGTCTTATGTATCTGCATAGATCTTATGTATTCTGAAGAAGCCAGGGGAGGACACTGGTGTACTGCTCTATTATCGCTGTGGCTGCCTTATTTCCTTAAGATAGGGTCTCTCACTGAATCTGGAGCCACCTTGCCAGATTGACAGCCTGGGAAACCCAGTGATCCTTAGGTCTCTGCCATCCACAGTGCTGGAGTTATGGATCAAGTGCTTGGTCACAGCCAGTGGGTGTTGGGGATCATGGAACTCAAGTCTTCATGTGTTCACTTACTTCCCTTCCCCCACCAAGCCATCTCCCTAAATCCCAGACAGTGCTTTTAGATGATGTATATATTCAGTTATAGAGGAAGGAGACTATTAAAGAAAAAGTATAAAAGAAATGTAACTGGACTAACTCTTTAGAACATTGCTCCCTGTAAAATATTTTGGATAATTTTCATTACACTCTTGACAGTGCCTGAAATTTTGCCAACTTTGGGTTTTGAAGATCATAGATCCTCTTAAAAACCAATGCTTCTGACATTTGCTCTATGCCTTAAACTGGTTTAGTCAATCGGGGGAAAGTAGGAACTTTTTAATTTAAATCTAAATTTGTCTTATTGAGTTAAATATTTGTTGATCAGGCACCTAACCACACTGGACATCATTTGGATGCCCAGAGATAAAAAGAGAAGATGCTAGCCCTCAGGAGGCTGCTTTCTTTTGGAGAAGGAAGTCTCACGAAATAAACACTAGCTCAGTGAGAGAAGGCTGAGTAATGGCCAGCAGCATAAAATGCAGACAAAGGGTGAAGAGCTCAGGAGAACTTCCTCAACCTGACCTGCTTTTTAGATCGCTAAATGTATGACTCAGAAAAATATTTCTCATACATGTTCATTGCCACCAAATCATGGTTAAGGGAGAAAAAAAAAAAAAAAAAAAAAACCAAGAAGGTGACTCATTAGGTAGCACAGAAACAGCATGCCCTCCCTCGCTGGACCCACACATCTTAGAACTCTAGTCTGTCTCCCAGGAGGGCTGTAGCCATGGGTGCCTCTCTTTTTCTACACTGCATTCTTTTGTTACTATGCATGCCTGGCCAGTATGCTGGCTTCTAGGTGAATGTTTTTATACCTGAAAGAACGCTGTAATCCTTACGCATAAGGTTTATCTCTCGCTTTCATTTTCAGTCCCTAATCTTTTTGCAGCTAGGAAAATGAGCAGAAGAAACCTCAAGAATGGCTTAATTAATTCCCACTCATGAAGCTCAGACCAAAAAGCTTTCACTTCCTGCTCTCCTTTGACCTTCTGCTTGTGTCACCTGGGGGGGGGGGGTTGTCCTGCTTTGTGGTTGTGGTCATTCAAGCTTACTCCGCTCTCCAAATACTTCCTGGGAAAGGAAACATACTCACGTCTACACAGAGGTTTTCCTGATCTCTTTTTTTGAACCCTGAAGATAGAATCCATCTCTGAGAAATTCCTCAAGTCTTCACACACAAAGATAAAGAGAGCAAGATACAGAATTAGAGTCTACACCTTCAACTTAAAAAGCCCTGTTTTTCTTCCTGCCCAAAGGTGAGAATTTCCCCCACTGATACAAGTTACAGCATTCTTCCAACGAACAGTGAGGGCCTTGAAGCAAATCAACTTCTCAGATCTTCACATCACACCCATAATGTTTACTGTGAAACCATTAGCTGTCATTGTTTACCCTGTATTGTCTATCTGTTTTCTGGTTGTATTTTATCTAAGTCATCTTCACTCTGGTTCAGCTAAGACTGTGGTTTTGCAAATTAAATCCATTGTGGGTTTCTGCATATATCTATCTCCTCCCTGTGTTTACTAAGCTTTTTTATTTTAAAAATATTGTATGTCTGTTTTCATCTTGACAGTTGTGTGAGGGGAGATTTATTTGGCCCTAGGTTCTTTTAAACAAATTTGAGGCTATTTAGAAGGACATACTGTTAAGAACCAGAAATAAATGGTGTAGTGAAAGTGTATCTTTAATAATTTTTGAATCCCCTTTAAAATTTAAGACTGTATATAAGAGATCACATAGTTCATGATTCTAGACTTTATATTTTGGTCAAACGAGATCTGTTTTGTTTTTCAAAACAAGGAAGTAATTGTTGATTTTATTTTCAATTTTAAACTTTTACCTTTTAAATTTTTTCTTTTTCCTTTTTTTTTTAATTTAAATTTGAAACAAGGTTGTTTTACATGTCAATCCCAGTTCCCTCATCCTCCCATCCTCCCCTATCACCCTCACCAAACCCCAGCCCATCCCCTTTCTGCTCTCCAGGGAGAGTGAGGTCTGTCATATCATTTGGGGCAGGGCCTAGGCTCTCCTCCATATGTCTAGGCCGAGAAAGTATCCCTCTATGTGGGATCCGAGAAAGTATCCCATCCTATGTGGGATGGGCTCCCACAGTCCATTCCTATACTAGGGATAAATATTGATCCATCACTAGAGGTCCTATAGACTGCCCAGTCCTCCTAACACCCATGCTGGTTTCTCACCTATCAGACTGAGGAGCATGAGCTCCCCCTTGTTCAGATCAGCTGTTACTGTGGGTTTCTCTAGCCTGGGCTTGACCCCTTTGCTCATCACTCCTCCCTGTCTGTAACTGGATTCCAGGAATTCAACTAGTGTTTAGCTGTGGGTGTCTGCTTCTGCTTCCATTAGCTGCTAGATGAAGTGCTCTAGGATAGTATATAAGATAGTCGTTAATCTCATTATGAGAGAAGGGCATTAAAGGTAGCCTCTCCACTATTGCTTAGATTGGTAATTGGGTTCATCCTTATAGATCTCTGGGCATTTCCCTAGTGCCAGTTTTCTCCTTAAATCTATAAATGGCTCCCTCTATTATGGTATCTCCTTTCTTGTTCTCCTCTATTCTTTCCTTGTCTCATTCTTCCTGTTCCCTCATGCCCACCTCTCCCCTTCTCTTTCTCCTAATTCCCTCTCGCTTCCCCCCATGCTCCCAATTTGCTCCAGAGATCTTGTCCCTTTCCCCTTCTCCAGGGGACCATGTATGTCTCTCTTAGAGTCCTCCTTGTTTTCTAGCTTCTCTGGTGCTGTGAATTGCAGGCTGGTAATCCTTTGCTCTATGTTTAAAATCCATATATGAGTGAGTTCATACTGTGTTTGTCTTTTTGTGACTGGGTTACTTCACTCAGGATGGTTTCTTCCAGTTCCATCCATTTCTCTTCGAATTTCAGGATTCCATTGTGTTTTTCTGTTGAGTAGTACTCCATTATGTAAATAAATGTACCACGTTTTCCCCCATCCATTCTTCAGTTGAGGGGCATGGAGAAACCAAGATATTCCAAAACCTTTTTAATTTTTTAAACTTTATGTGGATGTGTGAGTAAATGATCTGTATGAGAGTATACATGTGTGCCATGGTGTACCTGTGAAGATCAGAGGTCAACTTTACGCCATCCACCTTTGTTTTGAGACAAAGTCTGACTTGGTCTTTCTTAATATTGTGCTACACACTCCAAGCCATGTGAACAATGGACTTCTCCTGTCTCCACCCCTGACTCCACCCTCTGTCTCCATTCCCTATCTCCACCCTCTGTCTCCACCCTCTCTGTCTCCACCCTCTGTCTCCACCCCCTGACTCCACCCTCTGTCTCCATCCCTGTCTCCACCCCTATCTCTACCCCCTGACTCCACCCTCTGTCTCCACCCCCTGTCTCCACCTTCTGTCTCATTTCACCTTAAAGAGCTCTGGGATTACAGGCGCATGGAACTGCATAGGGTTTTTTTCAGGTGGGTTTCAGGGATCCAAAGTCATCAGATTTGCATGGCAGGTGCTTTTAACTACTGAGCCATCTTTCTAGCTCCAAGAAAGAAAATTTAAGGACTACAAGTCCACATAGCCAATGTAGAAAAGGAGCAGGCCACATAAAAAGGCAATTTGCCTAAGATCTATCATTATGATGCAGGGAAAATATATGACATTCTCAAGCTAACAAATTGAAACTAGTAACTGTTGAATGCAACAGAAATAACATGTGGGAGATGAGGACAAAGTGGGATTTGTGGATGGCTCTACTATTTCTAACTTGGAAGACTTAGTAGACAATAATTCCATTGCTCAAGACGATAGAAGAGAGACATAGGTAACTAAGAAAAAAGCAGAAATCATATTTGCTTTGGCTCTGCTTGTGAGATTAGTGGGCCACTTGAACAAGTCTGATGACACATACTGGAAATTTTGAGAATGAAAGAAATTAGTATATAGTCTAAGAAAACTGTGCTTGTCAAGGTTCTCCACGAAGTAGGTTGTCTGCCATTCAAGCCATCAAGACAGAGAAAATAGGCCCAGATTGTTTTTTAGAAAAGTGGGGAGTAAAAAAAAAAAAAAAAAAAAAAAAAAAAACCCAAATGTGTTCCATACCACTTCCTTGGGGAGACAGAACCAACTAGAAACAGAAGCAGGAGTTGGCTGCAAGGCCAGCAGGACAGTCGGCAGCACTGCCAAGTGTGAGACACTGGAGGGAGGAACAAGGAAAAGACTGTGCATCTGTCATTAGCAGTTGGTCCTTTCAGAGAGCAAGACAGGCAAGTGTGGGCAGGGTGACCCAACTGGCAGAGGGTGGAGGAGTGACTGGAAGATAAAGAGATGCCCTGGGAAGTTTATTGGGAAAGGAAAGGGTAGGCCACCCAATGGGAGAGACTGTCAGAAGTTAGTTGTTTGAAAATGGAAAACTTTCATTTTACTTGTCACTGGGAGCAGAAGAGACTGAAGTCACAAGAATGATAAGAGGCCCAGTGAAAGAATGACAGTGAAGGGGTGCCCAGGGGAAGGAGCCGAAGTCTGGAATGTTCCACAGAGACAAGGTAGGTAAAGGGAGAGAGTGAACAAGAGAGAAGGAAGCTGATCAAATGAGTGTGTCTTGTGGCTTTCATTTTCTCTTCAAAAGAGGCAAGCTCATCTACTTAGGGTGGAGAAGGAAGAGTGATGGTTTTGAAAACTAAAGAAAAACAACTGGGAAATAGCCCATTTAGAAAATTCAAAAGGAAACAGACCAAGATGAGATCTTAAAAAAGGAAAAAGATCATGGGCAAATCCAGTAAGAAAAAAAATAATAATCAGATTCATAGATTATATATTTGTTTTTGCAATTTTGGTAGAAAGAGATATGACAACATTTGCTACTTAGCTTTTTGTTTGCTTTTGTTTGTTTCAGGCAGGGTTTTGCATAACCCTGGTTGACTTTGGATTTTCTAAATAGGCAAGGCTGCCCTTGAACTCCTGATCCTTCTGCCTCTACCTCCTGAGTGCCGGAATTACAGGCATGTGCCACCACCCCAAGCTCATTTAACTAATTTTTATGTGTACAGTTCAATAACATTTGCTAGAGTCATGATTCTCACCTTGCTTCATTGCCACCTGTTTTCATAATTGTCTCATCTCCCAAATAGAAGCTTTGTATCCTTAGCCAATAGCTCCCCTTCATCTCAATCTGCTTTGTGTCCCCGAGAATATGTCTGTTCCAGATAGCTGCTATTACTTTTTTGCTTTTGAACTCAGATTGATAAAATAAGAAACAAAGAATTGATCGGTCATCATTTTTACACTACTGTCCTATGAAGGCTCATTTGTAATTTGGATTGAGTCTTTGAGAATTTCACACATGTATACATGGAAAATGATAATATCAGCCCACTTCCCACATCTTTCTCAATTCCTCCTCTCATTTTCTTGTTCCCTTCCCTTTCCTTTTAAATAACAACCCACTAAATTTAGTGTTGTGCGTATATACATGGGTGTGGGACTATGCACATACCAGTAGCCACACCCCAAAGAAGAATGATTCTCCTCCCCCAGCAGTGGGACGATGTAAGCTCCTCCCCTGTTGATGCTTTAGCTTTGTCTGATTTGATCTTCTGGACATGACAAGGTTGTTTCAGTCACAAACCCACAGCAGCTGTGGTTACCTGCACAAGATCAATAGGTCTCCCTTAAATCACACTCTCCTCACTTAATGTAACACACAGTATGGATTAGAACTTAGCTCTATCATTGTATATCAAGTAATTTGAACACCCAGTGTATTCAAAATAGCTTCATTTTTTGAACCCTCCAACTACTTTGCACTGAGTATTTCATTTATCACATAATGTGCCCACAACAGTGAATATCTCCCCTGACACACACATCCAAATGATAACACAGATTTATGCACTGGTGAACTTTTCCTATTCAGCAGTTGATTTCAGAAAACTATTTGACTCATTTGAATATGTGTTGCTAAAGCAGAAGTTCCTTTAAAAAAAAAGCTTTTTATGCAATATTAGGAAAATGAGACGTTATGCAAACAAATAGCCTTGCTCTTTGCCATACGTGGGTGATGAGGTCTCTAAAAGGGGCTCAGATGAATGACTTGAGTATCAGACTCAGCTGTTTTTAATGGAAATGTTTTCCTGCTCTGTGAAAGCAGGTTATAATAAGAAACCCATTGGAGGAAATGTCTGATGTTTTGGTCATCTCTGTAGAATCACATTTGTGTGTGTGTGTGGCCTCAAGGACAGATGAAATTCCTGAATTAGGAATGAATGACAAGGACCTCTTCTTGTGCGCCTATATTATGGATAGACCTTCTCATACAGCTTTAAATTGATAGTTGCAGAGATAACTGCTGACAGTCACGGTGTCAGCTAGACACCAAAACCCTCTAAATATTGCTGACCCAACCTATCAAAAAGAGGAACTACTTTCCTCTCCTCTCACTTCCCCAAACTTAGCTCCCCCAATCCAATCCTAGTTGAGATTATCTTGATGTCATTAAGAGATATGGGAATACCTGCCCACTGTGGGTGGCATCATCCCCTGGATGGGATCTGAACTGCAAAAGCAGAGAAAAAACGAGCAGCAATATGCATTCACTGCCCGTTTTCTTTTCCTCCTTCTCCCCTTCCTTCTTCAAACGTGTGCGTGTGTGCGTGCATGGTGTGTGTGTGTGTGTGTGTGTGTGTGTGTGTGTGTGTGTGCGCACATGTGAGTGTATCATGGTCTTCTGTAGAGAACAAATACAACTTGTTAGAGATAGTTCTCTTTTAAACCACGTATGTTCCAAGGATCATATTCAAGTAGTCAAGTTTAGCAGTAAGCACCTTTACCTTCTGAGACACCTAGCTGTCACCTGCTGTCTGTTTCTTTTCTTTTCTTTTCTTTCTTTCTTTCTTTCTTTCTTTCTTTCTTTTCTTTTAATTTTACATGTCGATCCCAGTTTCCTCTCCCTCTCTCCCCCATCACATGCACCCTGATCACTCTCCCCTCCCATCCCCCCATCCCAATTCCACATATAGGGCAATGTTATCCAGGTGGGGTCATGTAAATCTGTCAAGTCATTTGAAGTAGATACTAGGACTTCTTTCCTGTCTCTAGGTTAAGGAAGTTTCCCTCCATGGGGGATGTGCCCACAAAGTCCTTTTATGCACCAGGAATACATCCTGGTTCCACTGTCTGAGCTCCCTTAGACTGCTCAGTCCTTCTAGCTGTGTCAGTCCCATGCTGGATTCCCAGCTATCAGTCTGGGGGCCTGTTAGCTCCTCCTTGATCAGGTCAGCTGTCTCTATGTGTTTCTGCAACCTGGTCTTGTCTCTCCCTCTGCATCTGGATTCTAGTTCAACTCAGTGTTTAGTTATGGGTGTTTGCTTCTGTTTCCAACAGGTACTAGATGAGTGCTCCATGATGGTGGATAAGTTAGTTGTTGATCTCCTATGTGGGAAGGGCATTTATGGTAGCCTTTCCAAGGTTGCTCAAACTGCTGTCTGTTTCTTGACTGTAAATGTCATGTGACCAGCAGCCCCAAGTTCCTGATGCCTTGAGGTTCCTTTAAATACCAGGCAAAAGAAATCCTTTTCCCTTAAGTTGCTTTTGTAAGAATATTTTATCACAGCAACAGCAAAAGCAACTAAGCACTAGGAGAGCAGATATGCTCTTAGTTGTATTTGTGGCGTAACTAATTCTCACAGTCCAGTCCAGGGAACCCAGCAACCTCCAAACACCTCCAGAGATGTGTGCAACTATTTTCACACTACTGCCAACGTCTGCTTTTCCTTTTCACCTTACTTTGTACAGTGAAGTTTTCTAGAAGCTTCATGGTGTGATAGCAACAGAGTACAGAAAACCATATAAGAAGCTCACATCATCTTCTGTAAAGCCAGACATTTAAAAGATTTGCAGAGTCTGGTGACATAGGTCACTTGATTAACATGCACAGAGCCTGAGGTTCAGTCCTCAGTACTGCCAGAGAGAGAAGGAGGGTGACAGAGAGAGAAAGTGTGTGCATCAAAATAAGTTGTTAAAATAGAAATACTTCTTTCAACACTTTTTGGCTTTGGAAATATGATGATGTATCATGAAATACATTATTTATATTAACATCGCATAATTGATTTATATTGTATTTCATTGAAAAATAATTATTGTGACTTTTTGTTATATTTTCTAACATGAAAAAAATATCCTAGTCCACATAATTGAGCTCTTCTTATAGAGTGAGCTGGGATGTAGCTCAGTTGGGAGAATGCTTGCCCAGTGCACAAAAAGCCCTGGGTTTAATCCTCATTGTCTCATAAACTGGGTGTGGTGGTGCAGAACTGTAATCCCAACACCTGGGAGGTAGAAGCATGAGGATCAGAAGAAGTCCAAGATCATCTTTGTTCAAGGCCAACCTTGAAAGAAAGAGAGAGAGAGAGAAAGAAAGAAAGAGAGAGAGAGGAGAGGGAGGGAGAGAGGGAAGGAGGGAGGGAGGGAAGGAGACAGAGAGGGAGGGAGGAAAGGGAGTAATACATCTGAGATAAAATGTGAGAATAAACTTCTGCAGAGCAGAAATGACAAAATGGGGACAGGTGCTAGAGTGCGTCTTGCACACATTGGATAGAGACGTGGAGGAGTATAAACAACACCTTGTTTTAATTTCAAAGCTTCTGAAGTATGCTATACATAGAATACATATTTTAAGGATCACACACATATGTATATATCTATTATACATACATACATATATATCATGTCTAAAGTTTGGGAGATAATGAACTCCAAATTCAACCTAGTAATTAATGTTCATAGAGGATAGTTGAGGGTACAAATGCAAAGACATTAGAAATGTCAAATGTATCAATTGTTTTCTTATTAAGTTGGAATTAAAGGCATAATTGTTTATAAAGTTTTTTTTAATGGTTTATATAACTGAATGGAATTATTGTATAATATAAAATTAATACTTGTATGTAACTCAAGAATAGAAATGCAAACCTATTTTAAAAATGGGCAAAGGTCTTGAATAAACATTTCTTCAAAGAAGATATGTAAATAGCCAACAAACACATATATGATTCTCGCTGATCATTAGGAACATGTAAATTGTAACCTGTAACCACCATGATCTCCACCCATTGCCATGACTATTACAAAATAAGCCTGCTTACTCTGTGCACTGTTTTCAGGAATGTAAAATGTTATAGCTGATATGCAAAGCAATTAGGTGGTTCCTCAAAACATTAAAAATAGAGTCCTGGGATCTAACTCAGTGGCAGGGTACCTACCTAGCATGAATAAGGTTAAATCCCTAGCATGACACACACACACACACACACACACACACACACACACACACACACACACACACAAATAAAAATGGAATTTTAAAAAAGAAATAAAAATAGAATAAAACCCCAGCATGTCTATTCAGAACACAGACAGAGGAACTGAAAGCAGGAACCTGGAGAGATATTTGCATATTCATGCTCATCATCGATCGGGCAGCCAAGAGGTAGACTGCCCCAAAATCCTTAACAGATGATGGATGAGTAAAACTAGTATGTACACA